TGGTGTAACGTGGTTAACTGTGTACAGGTATGTCACGCCTCACTACCACTGGTGATATAACACGGGTGAGGGAACTAAGTTCATGTTAGTAATAAACCATACTGCAGTCAGTAATCTGCATGTGATTTAGTGCTAAATAAAGTTGTGGTGTAACGTGTTTAACCGTGTACAGGTATGTCACGCCTCACTACCACTGGTGATATAACACAGGTGAGGGAACTAAGTTCATGTTAGTAATAAACCATACTGCAGTCAGTTTTTCTCAGAGTTAGTGTTTAAGTGGATTGAAACTGGTAAATAAGTTTAATTAGCTATTTTCTTTTTGACTAATATTCAAATCTGCAAGTCGCATTATAACCAAAGTTGATATAAAGTGGTGGTGAAATGTTGTGTATTGGAACTCCATTTTAACATTTATTTTATAAGTAGTGTGTTCACACTAAATATTGCTGTTTATGGGAAAAGTATATAATAGCCCTTCCTAATATAAAATATTCATACACTCAGATCTTAAAGATGTGTTCAGGTTGGGGATTTAGAATTTAAGATGGGTCTGTCCCTTGTGCAAAGAAAGGAATATGGATCATCTTGAGGTGTGAGGACCATCCAGAAAAGAGACCTGTGACTTCTTGTAGCAGGTAAATTCATGAATATGAGTGTCAGTAACAAAAGTTGTCCACATGTCCCAGGCAAAATACCCAAGAAAAATAATCTGAGAATACTGTATAAATACAATAAGATAAGGATTCATTCATACCTCCTGTTCAACCATGGTCTGAGAATGAAGCAGGTATTCATACTATTCCATGCAACTATATAACAGCCAAGATGTCGTACACTAGATGGATTATGAAGGGAGTGGTGGTGTGCTTTGGACATGAAAGCATTACAACAGAATTTTTTTACTATGGGAACTATACTATGAGTATGATGTGGAGAGGCTTCAAAAGCTTGTTAATATAATGTACTCAAACTAAATATTTGAATAAATACTGTATTTTTGTAAGGGTTTTACGTGATCGTTTATTAGATTTGTAATGAACCAATTTCAACCTTGTAAAAGTTAACGACTCTCAATCTGGGGAAATATAGTTTGTATCAAACCTGAATTTTTCACAAAATATTAAAATGGCTCAAATACATGTACAGCATTTTTCTAGCTGTTTAAAACTTTAGTAAAATATGCTAACCATGATGTATGGATGAACACAAGTATTGTTGAGATTTGGGAAACTTAAAACTGCAGACCGAAGTTTCAATTTGATAAATTCACATGAATTACAACTAGGTGTTATTAACTTGATAAAAGTAACAATGTATTAGAATTAGTTATCTTGGAAGGACAACGTTAGTTTTAGAATAATTTTATTGGGTTTGTTACAGTATAATACAAAAGACGAGAAGAAACTAAGCCTGAAAGCCGTTAAAATAAAAAAATCACATCGCTGGTTAACATAAGAGTTTAAAAACTTATGAAAATAAAATAAGTAGAAAAGTACAGTATTTAAAAGCATACTAAATTAATTCACAAATATCTTTAGATAGAGTACTTTCTTTATACAATAATTGTTAAAACTAGAACCTCTTCAGACCGTCATTAGTTGAAATGGAGATCGGTTTTAGGAAGCTCATTACACAAACTACAGTAGAATCTTACTGTTATCATGCATTCCATTTTTTTTTGTAATACTTTTAAAGAAATCCTTTAATAAAATAAAAATATACAAATTTGAAATGTTAATGGTACACTTTCAACACTTCCATTATTTTTTACCTTCCATTCGTATATATACACTATAAAAAAAAAACACATTGGAAAGCTGTTTTCAAAACCTGTTGAAGGTCGGTATCAGGATTGAAATTTTAAACAATGCATAATTTGGAAAATCTTATCCCATCTTTCAGTTATTAAACTTGTAGGTTTCTTTATTCCTTAATGAAGTCATCTTGTTTTAAAATTATATTTGTTTACATACACTCGTATCCAATGTGAGCTTTGTTTTTTATGTGTGTGTAATGATTGGTATTATTTAAATATTTCAATAAAAGCAAAACATAAAACATTTCAAAATTACCAGCATTAACCAATGAGTCTTACATTTTGTGTCCTTGAGATATGGTCAGTCCAGGTTATGTAAATTTTGTACATAATAAAAAACTACACAAACATTTGTTTTGTTCCAAACCAGAAATAAGGTATAGAAAACAGATTGAATGTTATACGTCGGTAACTTTTAAATATCCAAAAAAAACAAGATGAATCAAGTGTATAACATATATATACCGGTAAAAAGATACTTTTACAGCTCTAATAAAATTTGGCAGTGTAAATGACAAACAGACATCACCCATACTACAGCCAACTGTCGCAGCTTGACAGGAACCCTGTATGACACGTCATTGTGTAAACTGGCCTAATTCTTTATGCAAGTTGTGGTAAGATAACATCACACTCAGTAACAGAAAAAAAAAACTACTTATGTCTAAATACTTGTTAGAAAACAATTGGTTCCTTATAAAGTGAAATATATAAAAAAATTTATAATTCAAATGACCATTTTGTTTTGTGTTCATATTTTTGAACACGTAACAGTATCATGATGAAGTTTCTGAGAAACACTGTTAACCTCCTTAAGATTGTGAGTTTAAAACATATGTTCATATTCACTACATAGGGGAGTCAATGACCTGTTTGTGCACGTCTGTGGCTTACTGTACGTTACAGAAATACTGATTCAGCAAACATAGGGTTTTAATCTTTTGCATGGTACATTAGATCCAGCATGTTAATACTGTTGGATTGGAGGGACAAGTGAGTGAATTTCCATTAATACTTATTATCACAACTCTAAGAGGTTATTTAATACCATGTGGGTATAGGAATACGATTAGAAGGGTGGGTGGGAATTACTCGTGTTTTGAGGGTGTGTCTGAGGACAGTTTGTAGATGTGCTACGGATTGCTGTAAATGAAGTTTCAGTATCAATTTTAATAAAACTGTGGTAATCATAAATAGACGATGTGTACATGTCAACAATAAGAACAACAAATAGGAAAAGGCCACTAGTTAATGGGGTAAATACTGCATTGTAAACTTAATCATAATATTGAGTTATACTTCCAATAATGATACTAAACCAAAGCAAGGATCTAAATTATGAAATTTTATGAGGTGCACTTAAAGTTCGTATCTTCCATCCCTGAAAATGTATTTCAGATAAATACTCAGTTTTCCACAGAAAAGACAGCTATCATCTCCCTAGTCCTACATGTAATGTTTACTGCACCAGTCCATGATGTAATAGTCATTAAACTATAGCCCTTCACCAATAAGAGGAATTCTCCATGCACAGTAAATCCCATGAACATTAGCATTTAAATAAAGGTTCATTCTTGACAACATAACAGAAACATAGAGGAAGGATCGGTCATTAAACTATAGCCCTTCACCAATAAGAGGAATTCTCCATGCACAGTAAATCCCATGAACATTAGCATTTAAATAAAGGTTCATTCTTGACAACATAACAGAAACATAGAGGAAGGATCGGTCATTAAACTATAGCCCTTCACCAATAAGAGGAATTCTCCATGCACACTAAACCCCATGAACATTAGCATTTAAATAAAGGTTCATTCTTGACAACATAACAGAAACGTAGAGGAAGGATGGGTGGTTGTCTATGTGAAAT